GTAAACTGTTTATTCACATTGATAAATAAATGGTAAATTTCAGGAAATTTAATTTTGTGTTTGAAAAGGAATGCAACTGACCATAGTTAAAGCTCAGAAATTTTTTTAAAGATTCCATCTGAAAACACAAGCCAATAAGAAATAAAATTGGTTAGGTTATGAAAACTTAAAGAGTCTTGAATTTTATTGGAGAAAGGGACCTTAGTGGTCTTTTCAGAAAATGTAATTTCACCATGAAGAAAAGCTACGAGGCAGAGTAATCTCTACCTTATCAGAGTCATGCAATTCAAAAGTAGCATTTGAGGAGTATTCCAGGTCTTTTGGCTATGAGCACAAAATTCATCATTTTATAACTTGCCACAAATTGGGGACTCAGAAAACCTGAGTAATCTTCTTGGTTCATTCATTTTTTTTTCCATTGCAAAAGCAAACACTAAATTAGTAGGAAAAATAAATGTATTATATTCTGTATTAATCTCTGAATATAGTGTAAAAATTAAATGTTTATATGTAAGCGTAGATATGGGACCATAGAAATGACTATCAATTGGCTGATGGCTCTCAGTACTATTTTAAAAAAAATGCATCTGCCTCAAAAACCATGCCACTTTTTTTCTGAAATAGTCTATAGGGTTACAATAATACTCTGTATGTAGTTTAAGCACCATTACTCATATATTTTGCTGGCCAGGGTTAGGACAACCACATTTATTCTTAGTCATGTGAGGTATGCTCAACGTACCACATAAATGAAAAAGAAACTGTCACAGAGACCAACGTATCTTCTACCAGGCTGCCCTTGCAAGAAGATACCCTATGCATTTAACTTTCCAGAGGATCATGTTCTCATGAAAGTCATAACGCACCAGAATATATAGTTCCCCTAAGGTCTATAGTGTAAACTTTTTGGATGGCCAGAATAAACAAAAGAATAGTTAGAAAATGGCAGCCAAATACTTTATGGCAACCACGGATGATTTGGTGAACTTACTTAGTCTCACTAACAATAAAAAACTGAAGTTAATAAGTATCACAGTGCTCGTGGACCAGCAAGGTTCACTGTAAGGCTGTGTGTGAATTATGCAGGCCTCAAATAAACCCATGTGTGAGCACTCAGCTACTCCTGTGGCCTTAGTTTTGAGCTCTACTGTGCTCATGATTTCTACAAGTATACAAGTCATCCAGAAATTTACTAAACCCTGCCCCTTAACTCTAGATTTACCTACAGGGCATTTCTCTCTCTTGGATATGTCTGTATCAGTTAAGATATTAATGTCCTATGCATTTACCAACTGCCAAAAACTTCCTTCTCATTCCATGTTCTCCATTTCAAAGAATTGCAGTGCTGCTTGCAAGATACGAAAGCTTGAAACTTGCAAGTCTTATTTATTTATTTATTTATTTATCCATCCATCCTCACACAAGGATAAGCTTTATAGATTTTAGAAAGAGAGGAAGAGAGGGAGAGAGAGAGAGTGAGAGAGAAACTTTGATCAGTTGCCCCCCACACTCCCCAACTGCAGATCAATCTGCAGCCTAGGTGTGTGCCCTGACCCAGGATTGAACCCCCAACCTTTTTAGTGTACAGGATGATGCTCCAACCAGCTGAGCTGGGCCACCTGACCCGGGCAAAACTTACAAGTTTTAAATGATTCCCTTTTACTCTTATCCCTTTCAACTCTCCATCAAGTTGTGTAGTTTCTAAGTTTATAATTCCTTTTAATTTCTACGGCCATTGCCTATGTTGAAACCTCCATAAACCTTACAAGCAGAAAGGTATAGTTAGAATCCCAGTTCTGCTAATTTCTAAACTTAGATGAGACATTTAGATTCTATTTCCTTATGGAGGGGAGAGAGAGAGAGAGAGAAACCTGTGGCTCTCCACATTACAGAGTAATTTTGAAGATTATGTGAGATATTCTAGGTAAAACAGCACAGTGCATGTCTCACAATAGACATTCATTGAGAGTCAACCTCATGTTTATGATGATATCTCGGTCAGCTGGACCAATATCTGGCATATAGTAAACAACATGAAACACAATATCATGCCTTTTTGCCCCGAATCTTTCAGTGGTGCTTTTATCCAAAGGAGGTGCTTTTCTAGGTCTACATAATTGTCCTGGATCTGACCTAGGCTTCAATTTCACTTTTATTTCTGCTGTTCAACACAGCTCCTAACACCAAAGTCAAGGAAAAGTCTATTTTTTCCCACCCACCAACAAACAAATGGCTATTTTCTTTCATATCTCTATTAATTACCTTTATCACAATCTTAAAAATTCTAATGAATTATTTAAAATTCATCATAGTAACCTACTACTTCATATAACCTTCGGTGCCTCCCCAAGCTGAATTATATGCTTCCAACTAATTACCGTAATCTTGTATTTGTACTTCTAAAGTAGAGTTACCTAATACACTTTTGTTGAAATAATGGTTTGGGTAGGAAAATTACAGGAGAGACAAACTATAGATAGACAGATAGGTAGATAGATATATAACATATATTAAAAGCTATATAATCGTATTATGTAATACTGTTCCCATGTTTATGCTACTGATTTCTCTTATGTAGGATTTGTACTGAAAATTATAACATTTGTCAGAAAAATGTATTTGTTCTGGCCTTTTCATAATTACTAATTCCTCTTTAGGACAAGCAGCACATTTGCAAAGAGCATGGATGGTACAAATCCTGTGCTGTGAAATAGTGATGCTATTTGATTCACAATGTGCTAGTAACTTTGGTGTCAGCCTGAGCTAAAGCATTTGCTCTAACAAACTGAGGTTTACAGTTAGTTTAAACTGTGAGAAGAAGTAGGGCTCTGATTTTAGAAAATACAAGTTTGATGTCTAGTCCTACTACTGACTAGCTATATGACTTTGAACATATTCCCTAACCTTTCAGAGACTCCTTCTCTATAAAATGGAAATAATACTGGTACCCACATAAAAGGATTATTATAAGTATTAAAAGAGATAATATAAGTTTTAAATGTAGGCTATACAAATTTTCAGATACACAAGACCCACAGGCTACATTTGGCATTAGTCCGCTTAGAAGCATATAGAACAGAAACCAGAACTTATTATCTTGTAACATCAACATTCCTTATCTTGAAATTCTCTTAGAAATCTGTATAGCATTGCTCAGACGGAGAAAGGTAAGTCCTGCTTTAGGAAGGCCTGAGAGCTGACTTGGATTAAAGGTTTCCTGCCCCGCAGGAGCTGACAGCTCTGGAAACGAACCCTTGTCCTGGCCTGCAAGGTCCCCACAAAAAACCATCCCTGCTCTATGAGTTGCCACATTTAGGGGTGCCCAAAGCTACTACCAAGTGTTTATAGTTGTTTCCCCGGTGTAGATAGAATTTATCCAAAAGGGTCATTTTATCATAAATAATTTGACGTAGTAACATAGCTGACATCCTAACTTTGATCAGGTACCAGAATAACCGTAACTGGAGGGAGTTAACCGATGGTCCCCCTCATTATAAAAGTTTAAAAGGGATTGTTTTTTCTCTGCCTGTACATACCATATGAACTTAATAAAAATTATACAGAGGATAATTTATAAATATGTATATAAAACTAATCTCAGGAAGAATAGGACATGTATCTAAGAGGAAATTAGGGAGAATTTTGTAACAGAGGAATTATAGAGGTTATCATTTAGACATTATTTTGTCTGATTCATGGATAAACTCACAAGTTTAAGAGTAAAAACTTGCTTATCACAGAAAAAGTTTTGTTCTGTGGTTAGTGCTATACCTAACACATCATTAATACTCAAAACATAATATTTGAGTAAAATGGGATTTTAGTTATCTCTGTTGTTATAAGAAAAACAGAGCTGACTCACAAGGTCTTTTGACTACCACTGTTAGTGATCCTACTTCCCAGACCTCTCAACTCAGACAAATTGACTTTGGTGCTTTGAGCTCTGTCTCCTAAGAGTACAGTTTTTGTACACATGCCAATAGAATTAAGAAGATTGAATGTGAGCTGTTACATTAAAGTGGACCTGCCTCTCTGTATGGTTGATTACCATAGTTAAATATAGCACCTGCATGACAAGCAGAATTATCTGTGCATTCGCCCATTGGAACAAATGGCTCTATCATGGCGACAGACTGCCTCTGTCTTGTAAACATGCACTGTTGGTTGTCAACTAAGATCAACACAAGGCCATTCAGTTCCAGGAATATCCTCAAAGTGCATATGCCCTTAGTCATGAGCACTGATAGCATCATCTTTATCTTCATATATGAACATTACAATTTAAAATCCAACATCCCTGTGATTCAAGAAGGCATAGATAGGTAAGAGTTTGAACATAAATATTTTACTGATAAATATTGAAGATTTATTTAGAGGCTATATCTATAGTAATAGAGATACAAATAATTTACATTTATAATGCTTATGATATATTTAATTAAGATACCCATGTGTATACTGTGTATTGAAGTGTGAAGTGAAAAAGTTGATATATTTGTATAAGCATACATTATAATTGTGACAACTAACATTTCAAATGATAATAAAAATCATGTTAAACATATATTAAATTAATTTTTCTATTTAAAGCAATATTGTATTAAGTTAGCCAGGCATGTTTATTTAAATTGCTAAATAGAATGGAAATCATCGTATGTTAATAGTTCTTGGTTTCTCATTTTCTAAATTAAAACAAGCCTGGAATGAGTGAAATGAACGGTATGGTAAGCTTAGTTTCAGCTAATTTTGCTTAGTTCCTTTATTTTCTATTTCCCATGAATAGTTTAACAACTCTTACAAAATAGGAGGAAAAATGCAAATGTTAGCTTTGTGTCTAACTGCTTTTACACATCATAAATGTTGATGTGTTTTCAGAGAAATTAGAATTTCACCTCCAAGTAGAAATAAAAACGTCCAGGCTGATTTCACTCTGGAGCGCAGAAGACAAAGTTCCTAACTGCGTGTGTGTCTGTGGTGAGAATATCAATGCTCTTTTACAGACTCTGCCCGCAGGAGAAGCTGCCAATGACATTCCAGTCCTGTGTGATCACCAAGGAGTGCCAGGTGTCCGAGTGGTCTGAATGGAGCCCCTGCTCAAAAACGTGCCACGACATGGCGTCTCCCGAAGGCACTCGTGTAAGGACACGCATCATCAGGCAGTTTCCTATTGGCGGCGAGGAAGAGTGTCCAGAACTAGACGAGAAAGAACCCTGCTCGCCTCAAGGAGAGGCAGCCGCTCCCTGCGCCGCGTGAGTAGACAAGGACCACCGCCCTTGCTGCCGGGTGTGCCCAAACCGCGCGTCTGTTCAGCTGTTCAATTCAGATGAATAGTTGGTGGAGATACAGTGATTCTTACAAATTCTAAGTGCAAAAATAAAATATCTTTTTACAAACACTATGCTAAAAAATGATTTTAATGAATAACAGTGTCTTTAACAAGCTGTATTTATAAATCTCCATGAAGGTTAGAATTTTATCAGCAATTCTCTGTTTATAGATTTTCTGTAAATAGATGTTGGCAAACTTTTTCCGCAAATGTCCTAGGGCCACACAGGTTTCTGTCACAATAATTCAACTCTACCATTGGAGATATAGACATTATGCAAATGAGTATGGATATGTTCCAATAAAACTTTATTTACAAAAATAGGAGACAGTTTGGATTTGATTCTGGGCTGTACTGCGTCAGCCCCATTTGCAGGGGTGTCCAACCTGCAGCCTGTGGGCCACACGTGGCCCAGGATGGCTGAGAATGCAGCGAAATGCAAAATCATAAATTTACGTAAAACACTGAGACTTTTTTGTGATTACATGTCACAGCGTATTTAATGTGTGGCCCAAGACAACTCTTCTTCTTCCAGTGTGGTGCAGAGATGCCAAAAGGTTGGGCACCCCTACAATTAAAATAAACTTTCAAAATATAGGTTCTTACTGCTTATTGAGCAAGTCCTATTAAAATTCAACAATGCATATAACAAATCCTATTTAATAGAATAAAATACTACATCAAAATAATAAGCTCCTTGAGGACAAAGATTGTGCCTATTCACCCCCCTCCCTTTCTTTTAATGAGAAGCATGTGCATCACAGGGCCAGACACATGGTAAATACCTGATAAATGTTCATTGAATTCAGGTAAATAAGACTAATTCTGAAATATTTGGCAATTTATTCATATTCTTTTTGTCCTGAAAAATATTTCCAGGCTATTACTGTGAACTACCTTGGCAATAAGTGCATTGCAGTTTAGTCTGAATATGATCTCACCTATAAGTGGACTCTATTCAACAAAATAAACTAACGAACAAAATAAACCACAGGCACGGAGACATGGAGCAGACTGAAAGTGACCAGAGGGGATGGGGGAGAAGGACAATGGTGGAAAGGAGGGGAAGGGACTAGACAAAGTACTTGTATGAATAACCCATGGACATGGACAACAGGGTGGGAATTGACTGTGGGAGCCGGGGGTGGGGGTGGGATGGGTGGAGGGCAGTAAAGGGGTAAAAACTGAGACAACTGTAGTAGAATAAACATGATGTATAAATTAAAAAATAAATTTAAAATGTTTAAAAAACAAAAAAATAAAAAAAATTATTTCAGTGTTTCACCATTGAGGAAAAAAAAAGAAAAAAAAGAATATTTAGCCCTGACTGGTGTGGCTCAGTTGGTGGGTGTCATCCCACAAAATGAAAGGTCTCTGGTTTGATTTCTAGTCAGGACACACATCTGGGTTGCAGGTTCGGTCCCCAGTTGGAGGAGATATGAGAGGCAACCTATCAATGTTCCTCTCTCTTTCTCCCTCCACTCCACACCCTCTAAAAATAAATAAACAAACAAACAAACAAAAAGTTTTAAAAATGGAATATTTATAAAAACAGCTTTCAAAATCTTAGCTTCCCAAAAGATATACACAAATTTCATTAGGAGCTTCTCTGGAATATTCTAAACATGTAAAGAACATGCATACAGCTCATACTTCATGAACCAGTGAGGAGGGAAATTACTATTCCCCTGACTCTTCCAACAATAACATTAACAGTAACAAAGATAGAGGTTATTTCTATGAGATTTTCAATTCTACAGCATTTGGCAACTGCCCATCCTCCCCTAATGCAACAAGTGACTGAAACTCCAGGGAGCTCCTTCCTTCCTCCTCCCCCGTCCCACTGACTCATATTCCTCTAGAATAGTTTCAAGGAATTTGCCTGGTCTCTGATCAGAGTGTTTTGTCTCCTATGAGTTTCTTCCAGTTTTGTCTCAAGCTTGATGTTTTATTCTTTCTCCTCTCAGATATTCAAGCACTATTAACAAAATAAATATATGTTCTAAGTCTCTTTCTTCTCTTTTTGGGAGAGTAGCATTTTTAGAATGTATAACCAAGTTAAATTATTAAAAATGTATTCCTTTCATAGGATTCCTTAAGATGGCCTAAAGACTCCATTCTGTAAAAATATAAAATGCTCCTTTTAACTCCCCTAATGACTTATTTTGTTTTGCTTTCCTCACCCCCAACCCCTTCACCCAAGACATCAATTATCTGCATTTTTAGAATTAACCAGAGCCCTGGCTGGTGTGGCTCAGTGGACTGAGCCCTGGCCTGTGAACCAAAGGGTCACTGGTTTGATTCCCAGTCAGGGTACATTCCTGGGTTGCAGGCCAGGTCCCCAGTAAGGGGCATGTGAGAGGCAACCACGCATTGATGTTTCTCTCCCCCTTTTTCTCCCTCCCTTCCCCTCTGTCTAGAATTAACGTGAATGCTGTACTCCCTTTATAAACATGTGTCAAGAGTGTTATTCCTTGATGCTCTCAGTCCTATTCCTCTGTTAAGCCATGAATCCCACTTATACAAATGAAAAATGGGCCTGAAAGTCAGCTTTACTGTCATGAAACTTTGCCATTGACAAAGCAAAGCCTCTACATCAGACACCTGAGAGCCCATTTAACCTTTTTGTCTAATTGAGATGAGCATTAGCACATCCATTTGTACCTATGCTGTCTGTTGATCTGATTAGTAAGGAAGCATCTTGGTTAAAGTGACACAAAGTGCTACATGAGCCATTTTCTTTGTGCTTTTAGAATATCCATTTTCCTTGAGGTGGAGAAATGCCATCGCTTTCTATCTTCAGTGGCATCAGGAAACAGTTCCCTGACTACCTCCTTAAAGCATATGTTGGGCTGACAAGCTCCCGACATTTCTTCCGCATCATAATCTTGATTAGAGCTTTAATTTAGAATCACAGATCGTCTTTCCCGTGTCCACTGATTAGAAACGTCAGCTCTTTTCATCATTTATCAGCACTCATCAGGGATGCTCAGTGCTAGAGAAAAACACTCTTATTCCTGACAATAAAGAGGAAATTCTAAATTGTTAATGTTATGTTTTTTAATCCTAACACACTACTATAATTTTGATCTAGTGTGAAGAAGCAATTTTCATGCATTTTATTAAAGGCAAAACAAACGTTTGGGTTGATCACCACTTAGAATGTTTTCCATTCTAAGATTCAGTTCTCTTTTGTTTATAAGTATTGAGAAAGGGCAAACCTAAGTTCAGCTTAACTGAACATAAAATTTCATGTTTTCAGCATTATGCCCTCTTTTCATAAAATATTTATAGGCAACTTCCAGTAATTGCAATTAAAACAGATCATCCTAAATTTAACTCCTCATTAAATGGAGTACTGCTGAGGATAAAGAGATTGAATCTGGACTTGCACGGTAGATGTGGTAGTCTGATTGATTCAAGAGATAAGTGTTTTGTGGAATAATTTGCTTAAGAAAAAAAAATATGAGAAGAGCAGAACAAAGTTTTTTCAATAAACATGGCTGTCGCTGATAGCATTTTCTTTATTCAGGTATGGCTGGAGAGCCACGGAGTGGACCGAGTGCCGTGTGGACCCTTTGCTCAGTCAGCAGGACAAGAGGCGAGGCAACCAGACGGCCCTCTGTGGAGGAGGGGTCCAGACCCGAGAGGTGTATTGCGTGCAGACCAATGAAAACCTCCTTTCACACCTGAATTCCCACAAGGACAAAGAAGGTAAGCTTTGTTTTCTTCTCAAGGATCATGCATGGAAACCAAGTATGGGGTGCTGCAGGGATATGTACCGGCCATCTGGGACATGAATAGCCATATTTCGGTTCACATCATGGTTGATAAGCACTATGGTGAACAGTAATCCAAATTTTGGTTGTAAAAATTTAATTCAGTTCCATCTTTGATCAGTTCTTATTTTCTGACAAGTCAGTCTCTCATTACATTTTCTAACTTCAGGCTCTGAGTCAAAATTTAGCAGGAGTAATTAATTATAAAAATAGAATAAAAATGTATCTTATAAATGTATGCAAAGAAGTATATATTCTTAAGCCCAAGTTTTCTTTGTATAATAAAACCTGCTTATAAAAAGCACCTCCTCTTGCTATTCATATGAAATATAAATAACATGAAAAATGTTATAATATTGAGTGAAAATTTCAATTTGAGTTTAAATGAAATAAATACAGAATAAGTGCAGAATTAAACTGCAGTTGAAAAATTATTTAACCCAAAGGCATGACTGTTTTTTAACCTGTAATTAAACACATCTTAGATATTTGTTTGTTTCTTTAAATCTGTTTTGGACCAAATATGATACAAGTGCAAAAGGATAAGTGATATCAGCATGGCTGGGGCTAAATGTATTTATTACATTTTAATATTAGTGTGACATTCTAATGATTATTGGATCAAGTTTACATTTAATTAGTAGCTTTTAAGGCGACCCAAGTATTAATATTTTTAAACAATGTCATAAATTAACCCTCATACATTTCCCTCCAGCTGAAAGATAGCAGGACACTTGTCACTCATCTATACAACATGTTTTTTTAGTTGCCAACAGAATTGCAAAAATTATGTAAGGTGATGAGATAGAAATGTCAATACAAATTTTGTGTCAGGAAAATGTTCATGGTCATCAGAGGGGTGCACAAACAAGCCAATTGTTATAACACAATATGCTCTACATTATAAATGAGTTTTGGAATAACTGTAGGGGACTCATAGCAACAGAAACCTTCACGGGGGAAAAAAGTGGCACGAGCTGAGGATGATGAGTATGTGCCTTAGAGTTCAGTGGGTCAGCAATGCCAGAGGGAACAGCACGGATTAAAACACACCTAAAGAAAAGCAAGGACTAAGGAGAGATCTTGTTGGAAAAGATGAGTGTGTTGTATTTAGCAAACTGTGGTTATGACAGGATACTATTCCCCAGCAAACATGTTGGTTGGAAAGGGAAAAGAATAAAGATAAAGGCCTTAGTTAACATCAGCAGAGGAAAGACCAAAAATGGGAGAGGGGTGGCCATGCAATGAAGAAATCTGATCAAGAATGACCAGAAAAGAAGGGAAAGAACCAAGAGAAGTGGGTGTTTCAAAAAACAAGAGAAGAGATGACTCCTCTGCCCCTCTAGGAAGGAGTGGCACCAGCGACCAGCAAGTCGTGGAAAGTAAGCACTGAGGTTTTGCTCCGTAGTTTGCAAATTTAATTGTTTTGCAACCACTAACTTAACACACATGGCAACTCATTTAGAAATCTAGCCTAGGGGTACGTTTTACTACTAATGTGTCTTGAAGTAGTAAGAGGTAGCATAAAACATGTAATTTTAGTACATTAATATTTTCTTGGCCACTTTAATGGCTACATTTTTAACACTCCTAGGTGGATTTATTATAGCAGCCCTTTCAGGGTAGTATAATTTCATTGCTAGAGGCAGATCAGGTTTTAGTTTCTCAATGTCAATTATGTCCTACAGGTTATTACTTTCAGAAGAGCCTTCAGAATTCTGAATTGCAACTGGATATATTTTAAAAATTATTTTGTCATGGTGATTTCCTACTGCTGTCAAAATACAGCAGAGCACCAAATATAAAAGTCACACAAAAAAAGGAAAACAAAAAGAATGTCATTGTTCAGATGGATCTGTTGGACTAAGCAAATGCCAAAGGTCAATAAATAGGGAAATAATCAGTTCCTCTGAGGCTAATATTTATCATGTAACATGAATAACTTATGAATGTGTCTTTTCATGTCAAATACCAAGAATACTAATAATCTTCTGGTAGTCTTTGCAAAAACAGTCTATTCTTCCTAAAAGTTGCAGCGTTTTTTCTCCCTCAGAACTTAGACTATATGAGTTTCCCCCAGAAGCACTTAGCATTTCCCAATGGAAAACTTATTCAATACACTGGCCTCCCAAGGATGACAGGTAAAGACTATAAATATGTGTGAATGGAGAACAATTTGTCTGTGGGCTATGAAAAATGTTCAGTCTATCTTCATTGAGTAAATATGAAAGAATGAAGACCTACTTTATAAAGAGAGAGAAACCTCTCAAAATAACTCCCTCCATCAATTCTAGTAAGAAGGTGCTGATCTCAAGAAATTCTGACTATGTCACCATGAACAACCTACCCTAAAAACAATTTATATTATCCTTAATTTGAAGAATAAATTCTATACTAGTATTTGGCAGATTCACACTATATGTTCTAGAAAAGTTGTTTTCACACATAACCAAGCTATTAAAAATACATTAACTCAAAATAAAATACATTGTCATAAATAAAATTTCTTGATTCAAAAATACTGAAAACAAGTGACATAAAATTCACAATTACTTTTATTATCTTGGCACAACATAATGTATGGGCAATGACCACTTTAGCACAAGGACAGGGTCACATTAAATAATTTCATTCATTGAGGTATTCACTATTGATAACATTCACAGCATTCCAGGCCATAAAAATTTTCCTCCTTGGAGCTAATATATTTAATTTCCAGAACATTGAAATATGCATTATTAAAATACTCAAAGTGTAATGTATGATATTCACAACTTAGTATCTTATCTGTATCAATTTAATTATATCATCAAAATATTTATTAAATTGATGGTCACATATTTAGACAATAGAAAAAGTACATCTATTTGATATTGGAGAGTGTCCACATTTTATTCATGCGTTGTTTCTGGTCATAAGTGACCCTCCCAATCCTGACAACTGAGAAGAGTTAGTAGTAACACCTTTGACAATTTCTGTCCAGCCAGCTGAGCAGAATTCCAGTAGGCTGTGAAGAATCGCCAGCTTATGCTGGCATGAAATCTACCCTTATCAGAAAATGACAGGAAGAAGTCTTGCCCGTGGGGAGGTTATTGGTATAAGCCCTAGAAAGCTGATGAAATGTTGCTGATCACTGGATGCATGAAAATGAATTGATTTTTTTATAAGCACAAAGTGAAATGAAAGATTTTAACTATAGTATCTAAGAAATTCGTCCATTTGAAACAGATTGAACATGTTTTTAAATGAGGGAAACCAAAAGTATCTGTAATAAAGCACCATGAAGCTTGCCATGATTTATATTATAGGAAACTTAAGAACATTTTTTTGCAGAAAAAAAAATCTAATAATTCACAGTGAAATCTGGATAAGGTCTGGAATTTAAGGTTATTAAGGATAGTCTGTACAACAAACCTGTAAGATGACACACAGAATGAGATAAATCAGCAGAAAGGTTTGGAGGCTCCGTGGAAAGATGGATGGAGGGAAAGATGATTGAACTATGGATGGGTCAACAGAAGGAGGAGCAAAGAGCTCATATTTTCCCATGTTCTGCAACAAAATAAGGAGAATAAAAATTGTCACTATCCCTAAATTAATTGCAAATTTTATATAATCATAGTCTTTTATCTACCATTTCTACAGACTAGCCTACTTTAGTCAAAGCTACTTTGGAAAAAAAAAGATTATGCTTATGGTCCTATTTCCCTGTTATTTGAGAAAGTAAGTATCAGAGTATGAGGAAGGCTAGTACTGTACCTTTCCTATCCATTGCTTTTGAAGTAACAGGTAGGTGACAGTATTTTAGATGACATCTCAATCAGAAATGCATATCAGAGATTCTCTACAAATTCCCTGATATAGTCCTTAAACTCTCTAGGAAATATAGTGCTATATTTCTCACTTTCTATTTTGCTAGAAGTATATCAAAGATGTCCCATAAAATAGAAATGATTTCATGTTTCTTTGACTATACCATAATTATATAGATGTAAATTATAAAAAAACATAAAAAGATTTTAGAATTTACTTATGTAAAAATGTCACTAGGACCACATGATTATAAAAACATACATAAAGTTTTGTTATGAACACTTTGTTGAGATAAATTAATGAAGATATGAATATATTTCATAATTTATCATATTTCTAAGCACATCAGTTTGTGCTCTACTATTCCTAATACAATAGGAAAAAGGAACTAAATCACAATGGCTGCATTTGGAAACAGCCTACACTGAGGCAGGGAGATGTAAAAAGCAGTGTAATGTAGTTACAGAAGAATTAAAATATAGGCAACCCCTGAAGGAATCAGATCCTCCTTGGAAATTAGTTCCCTGAATATTTTGTGGGAGAGAAGGGCTGTTACCCTATGAAACTTCTCTGTGATCAGTAGATTACAAAGTGGAAAGACTTGCCAAAAGGTTTCAGCCACTGGGATAGAAGCAAATAAAAAATGTATGGGCTGGGAATTAGATTAAGCTGGTCAGTGGTCTACCCCAGACATAGCTTAGAATTTCTGGTAGAGGAAGAATTTACTAATGAGATGTCACACCTCTGCACCTCTGACTTTGGATAGAGAAAACACGATTTAGTTGTTGGATCAAGTGACAAGAGTCAAAATGCATGCACTTTGTTTCAATTTGGATACTCATATAAGGGAACATTTAATACATCTATATTTTCTTTTCTAATAATATAAATGGATTTAAAGTCTTTGGAATTTCATCTTAAGGCTACTTTAAGAAGGACCCTAGGTAGATAACCAGGAAACCTCTTTTATGTGTGTGGGTTTGGGGTTTTTTTTTTAGATTTTATTTATTTATTTATTTTTAGACAGAGGGGAAGGGAAGGAGAAAGAGAGGGAGAGAAACATCAATGTGTGGTTGCCTCTCGCACACCCCCTACTGGGAACCTGGCCCACAACCCAGGTGT